CGTACAATGTACGAGTATTTCGCGAATGGTTCATATTTGTCACTGGATTGTTTCATTTCAGTCTGGTGATAAATTGAATGCAAATTCAAGTTCGTCCAGTGAGAATTCGCCGCTAGCATCGAGGCCCAAATTCTCGTCCTCGTCGACTCAAATGAACAAGCTGATATCGTCGACTAGCAACGCGGCTTCATCCAGTTCGTCGGGTGGCGATGGCAGCGGCGAGCGGGGAAGCGTGCTTGTCAACCACCGATCGTCGATCGTACTTCCCGATCTGTTACCGAAGTCGCGCACGTCTCCCGACGACCGCGACGAACCGAACGAGGTAGGCGAGGCAAGACGAGTTTCATTGTTAAGTTTGTCGTTATCTTATAATGCGCGTTTCTCCTTTTTGTGCAGCCGTTTTGGTCTCTACGCTACGTAAGTTGTATACATCTAAGTTTTCGGCAAAAGTTTCCGTGGTCGAAAAGCAAACGTTGTATTTAGTGCGTTTTAGCATCGCCCCTCGTCGCAGACCACGTCACATGCGCTGCAGCGCAAGGAGAAGTCGTTCGTCGCTTTTGGTTTTGGCGCCACTGGCACTGTTGAGCGGCCGGGCAGAGCGGCGCGTGATGCCACTGAGGTCAGTTGGCCGTTATCGTCGCTCATCGGTCGTCGTTTTTGCATGTGCCTAACATTCGTTTTTCTCTCTAGGTGAACGTCAATGTGAACCCGACCAACACTCATACCGAAAGCGATGCACCAGAAATCAGGAAATACAAAAAGAAGTTTTCGAGCGAAGTTCTGTGCGCAGCCCTTTGGGGAGTGAACCTGCTGATCGGCACTGATAACGAGTTGGTGCTGTTGGACCGCAGCGGTCAGGGCAAAGGTAGCGCGGTATAAGCGCTGACCTTTTGAGCAACCCGTTTTAACATATTAACTACTTAATAGTTTACCATCTGATTAGCCGACGACGCTTTGACCAGATGGCCGTTTTGGAGGGTCAAAATATACTCGTAACCATTAGTGGCAAGAAACATAGGGTTCGAGTGTACTACCTTTCATGGTTGAAGCAGAAGATATTGCGTTCTGAAGCTGTAAGTTCGTTTTCATCGCTGGAGTTTTACGACCATGCTGTCTGTTCTTAGTAAACTGGTGTATAATCACAAGTAAGAATCTCTTAACCTCAGACAGTCGATAAATTTTCGATACATGGTTGTATTACCAAAATTAGTAGAAAGGTGTTATTTAGAGACCAGCGATTCTCGACAGCCATGCTAATTGTCATCGCCAAGGTTATTATTAGTGGAGAGAGATAAACGGTAGTGTGACCATGAGCTGAATGGTTCCAGCGTCATTAATCACTTTATAGCCTCAATTATTACACTTCGTCATCATTACACCCTATTAGATGGAGTTGCCACACGACGCCTGCGATGTGAATCTGATGGAGATTTCGATACTTTCCAAGCTCCCCTTGAGTTCTTGAGCTTGCTGAAACTAAAACTGGTTTCCACCAATTTGCTGTCTCAGAAATCACGAGGAGGTCAAGTTTTAACAAAAATTATATGCAGCTCAAAGATGTTAGACAGTAACCGCTTTTATTACATAATTTTCACTAGTTCTCACAAGCCATGGATATCATAACTGAGAAATGTTGTGTAACAGCTATCTTGGTTTCAGCCATCGTAGAGGCGTATCTTTCAGATGGCAATATTTCTATCTATGGGTCTGCCGTAGACTGTTTCATGAGACAGGAATATATGACGCTGATCAATCTTGCTGTTTATTTAACCGTCTATATCGTTGACTTAGACTCTGCCGTTGCCGGTCCCAAGCCCGGTTGAGAAAGGAAGAGGGGTTGGAGACCGCGGCGAAGTCTCCTTAAAAGTAAGCCACCTGCCCTTCACAATATTGATATCATGGAACATTTTACCGGATCGGTCGTCGAGCAGGCTGTTGGGGGACTGAGACACACTGCGAAACGTCGGCGATCAGAACCTTCTCATCGCCCTTTTCCATCCGCGGGCGTAGCTGCACAACAACGGAACTACAACGGAGTCGCTACTGAACTGCCCGTACTGAACAGATGAGGCAGACAGCGCGATGCCATTATAGCACGTCAGAAAAGACTCCACCATAACGACACCGCCAGTGACAGCTTACAGTCGGAAAGTGGAATATATCCTCACTCAGAGAGAAAGAGCAAGAGTTAGTTGATGAGACCATTAAGTAC